TATATATATATATATATATATATATATATATATATATATATATATATGGACAGCCACTAACGGCCTCTCTAGGAACATGACAATGCTTTTCATTTTAGTTGCTGGGAATGCAAACTCAGTTCCGTTATTAACACCGAATTCTCACCTGATCACGCTTTGGAATAGCAAACACAAATTGAAACTCATTTACCTCTTATTTTTACTATCCGCTGCCCAATGCAGCACTACATTTGAAGTCCACTAAGCTGGGCAGTCGCACGTCTCTCCATTGATAATTCTTTTGTTTTCCGTTACTTTCAAACCCGATCTTCTACATGTGCTCCGTCATCTTACAGTGAAGTGAACTTTACTGATCGCGGCGAAACTCGCAACGCATACAAAGTTGGTGAAAACATGTAACGTGTCCATGGACTGGGTCTATTTTCACGGAGGAGAGTGAACCTTCATGGTCAACACAATAGCCAATCAAACTTTGCGTAACTACCTTCTCAAGCATTCTGACCTGGTAAGAAAGTACAATAAGAAAGCCACTGTTCTGTTCCATACCCTTCGGTATCCCCAACCCTCCAGTAACGTAGTCCTTGAGACCCCAACTTGGAAGATGGGAGACACCTAGCCGATATGGCAACAAGCCGTTATGGTGGAGGGCAGCCATAGCCAGGACCATCAAACAATGGAATAGGTACTGGAAGAACTTTAGAGCTTCCGGAAATCAACAGGCGTGGGTCAGGTATAAAAGGTGTAGAAATCAGGCGGTTAGGCTAATAAGAGAGGCAAAACGGCAACATGAGCTTCAACTGGCCAAATGCGCCAAAATAAAACCAAAGAAATACTATAACTACGTTCAGTCCAAAGCAGCACTGAGAGAGGGTATAGGACCATTAGATATAGGTGCTGCATCAGTCGTGATGGACGATCAGGGTAAGGCAGATGCATTGGCTGGATATTTTGGCAGTTGGCACCGAATAGATGACAGTATGCCGAGAATTTTGGAGTTAGGAACATCCCCGCCAAAAATCGGGGAGCTTCAGTTATCGGAAGAGAGTGCGGCAGCACTTGGAGGGCCTAGACGTTCATAAAGCGGCTGGACCAGAAGAGACCCACCCTGTTATAATCAAGCCCATAGCTGACATCCTCGCAGGACCGGTGTTTAAGTTATTCAAAGCTTCATTAGATCAGGGTGTCCTACCGAGGGACTGGAAGGTAGCAGCGGTGGTAGCCATACATAAGGGGGGAGCCCGAACAGAGTTAGGTAACTACAGGCCAGTTAGTCTAACCAGTATCTTGTGTAAGGTGCTAGAAAAGATTATTCGCACCCATATATGCCAGCACCTAATGCAGTACTCTATGCTGTGCCCAACCCAACACGGGTTTCTCAAAGGTAGATCCTGTTTGACTAATCTACTGTGCTCCTTGGACGAAGTTACCAGAAGATTGGACGAGGGACACAGGGTAGATGTGTGTTATCTTATCAAGGCGTTTGACTCGGTTAATCAACGCCTGCTATTGGTCAAAATAGATGCGTTCGGCATAAGGGGACAAATCCACAAATGGCTGAGAGACTTCATCACAAACAGAACCTTCTACGTCAAAGTAGGTGACAAGTGCTCCTC